AACTCTACCCACATGTCCAGCACCTCAGGGGGACGAGCTAAAATGGCTTGGAGCTTCTCTTCGTGTGGTTACTCATTAGTTCTTGGCTTCACTCTCTGGGGTTCAGGCTAGGACCTTTGGGTCAATTTTATTTTTTTCTATAAGAAACTGCCTTTCCTGCTTCCTACCCATAGAATTCCTACTTTTTTTTTTCTACCAAAAAAAGCTTTTGCTCACTTTTAACTGTCTCTTTAGTCCACACTGGTAGCACTTTTATCCATAGATTCTCTTTCAAATTTTGTAAGTTTTGTATTATTCTCACTGGGGTTCCCTCCTTGCCCAGAAAGCAACATCTATAATTTTTTCAAAAGCAAACATCTCTACTTTGGGTATTACTGTAAGACAAGTCCTTCAGATTCTTAGAAACCCTTTTGTCTAGCTGAAAAGAAGTATCTATCACAGCATTGACTGGATCTTTACCTTGTGGTCACCTTGTATAGGTGGCCCCTGAAGTCACTTCCTACTTTGAGACTCTTGCTGGCTACAGAGAGCCTTCTAGGCCTTGTATCTACATCCAACTTGAAAGACTGAATATTTCCTTTTTAAACACATCTTTCTCTAGTGATACCATTATACATTGCTCATGCACCATTCACATAACTAAAACAATCCAACTGACACTTTGAACAGTGAGCCTGAACATCTCCTTTGCCAGAACTGCAGGTTCATTAGGTACATTTTTTATCATGTGTTTTACAACACACAAGTGCAACCGAACATTTTATCATCCATAACACCTTTTCTCCAACCTCCAATAGCAATTTCCTCACTACTTTTATGTCCTCCATTAAGAGTCTTCTCCCACTGGGTGCAGGGGCACATGCCTGTAATCCTAGCAGCTGGGGAGGCTGAGACAGGAGAATCACTAGTTCAAAGCCAGCTAAGCAACTCAGTGAGACCCAGTCTATAAATAAAATACAAAATAGGGGTGGGGTTGTAGCTCAGTGGTCAAGTACCCCTGAGTTCAATCCCTGGTACCAAAAAGAAAAAGACTTTCCTCCCCTGACTAAGAAAACATATCAACCAAGTGCAAATGTAGGATCCTGGATTGAATTCTGGGACAGAAAAAGAACATCACTAGAAAATCTAGTGAATTTCTAAGGTCTGTACCTTATGTTCATTTTCTGGTTTCGACCATTTTCTTTCTTTTTTCCTGACCTTTTCTATGGTTATATAAGTTATTAATATTTGGGATACTGGATGAAGAGTATATATAAACCCGTACCATTTTTGTAACATTTCTGCAAATCTAAAATTGTTTCAAAATAAAATTTTCAAAACCTAATTAATTTGTTATTAAAGAATTTCTCATCATCTTTCCAATATCCACCCAATGCCTTAGTCCAAAGTCCATACCCTAAAGTTTTTATTATATTATAACCCAACTTTCAGATACCAATTTCTGTTATCAATAATATAGCATACTACCCCAAAATGTAGTAGCATAAAATGGCAATACCAGTATTCTGTGAATAAGTGTTGACAGTTTGTCTCTGCTTCATGTGGTGTTGGTTGGGTTGGCTTCACTGGGTCTAGAAGATCCAAGATGGCTTCAATTACATACCTATTGCCTCCACTAGAGTAGCTGGAATAGCAAGAGGCTAGCTTAACCTCTCACTCTCTCCATAGTAACTTTCTCTCCAGGGAGTATAGCAGAGAAGTCAGATTTCCTCAAACTAAAATTGGCAGGCCTAAGCCCAGAACTATTAATAGCATCAGTTTTGCTTCATTCTACTAACCAAAGCAATAATAGGGTAAAAATTCAAAGCAGGAGAGAAATAGTCTCCCTTTTGGGGGGGGGGGGCGGGTACTAAGGATTGAACTCAGGGGCACTGGACTACTGAGCCACATCCCTAGCCCGATTTTATATTTTATTTAGAGATAGAGTCTCACTGAGTTGCTTAGCTCCTCATTTTTGCTGTGGCTGGCTTTGAACTAGTGATCCTCCTGTCTCAGCCTCCTGTGCTGCTGGGATTTCAGGCATGTGCCACCTTTTGATGAGAGCGAGATATATATGTAAAGGGATGGAGAGATGGACATTGGTGGTAATCTACCACAATGCACATAGCCCTCTCCCTATAAATGACTCCCAGAAACACAATTTTTCATAGTCCTTCTCTCAGGTCAATTCTGCTACAATCCTATCATTTAGGAATCCTCACAATTTTGGAGGCAGTGGCGCACTCCTATAATCCCAGTAACTCTGGAGCCTGAGATAGGAGGATTGCAAGTTCAAGTCCAACCTGGGGAATTTAGCAAGACATTACCTCAAGCGAGCGCGCATGCACACACACACAAACACACACAAACACACACACACACACACACACACTCACATACACACACATTAAGGAAGAAAATAAGTGTCTATTATCAAAAGAATATCAAATAATCAGGGAGGAAGCTCAGACCTAATTCCATTTTTAAATAAGTGAGCATACTAAGGACTTTCCATCATTTAGGTTTAAAGGTCTGTTTGTGTCTGCTTGAGGCCAGGTCTTGCTAAATTTCCCAGACTGGCCTTGAGTTTGCAATCCTCCTGTCTCAATCTCCAGAGTTGCTGGGATAACTGAAGTGTACCACTGCATCTGAGTAGTCTTATGATCCAAGACCATTCTTATAAGAGCTAGAAGAAATGTCAAAGACCCCCTAATTTACCAGTCCTAATTTACAAATGAAAATACTGAGACCTAAGGGGTTACATGTCTAGATTACATAAAACTCAGTGAGAGATCCTTAACTGGAGCCTGGAAAATTTCCTGATACCTATTCATGAATAAAGAAGGAAGAAAACCTAGCTTTTATAGAAACCTGAACAAGTTAATTAGAGAGAAAGTAGACTAGCAATGGCTTTTAATGACATTTTCAAGCCTTGCACAGAAGTGAACAAAGGAAACAAGGAATCTATCTAAGTAGAGATGATAAATAAGGTTTGGAATAGGGAAAGGTGGAGATAAGTGAACAATATCATTACTGATACTCTCTGTCCTTAAGTGTCCTAAAATTAGCCCATGAGGATTAGAATCTTAAAAGTCAAACAACACCAGGCCTGGTGGCACACGCCTGTAATTTCAGTGACTCAGGAAGCTGAGGCAGAAAGATTGCAAGTTCAAAGCCAAGCTGGGCAACTTAGACTTTGTTTCAAAATAAAAATTTAAAAAGCTGAGGTTATAGGTCAGTGATAGAGCACCCCTGGGTTTAATCCCTGGTGCTGCAAAAAAAGAAAAGAAAAAAAGTCAAACACAAAAATATAAATTGTCTTGTGTTTTAAGTTTGCTTCTACATCCTCAGTTGTTGAGATCATTGGAAAAGTACCTTCCAAACAAGGATATAAAGGAGATAGCGGTTATGTGTTGTGTGAGGACTGAAAATCAGAAAAGAACTGTAGTACTGTAAAGACCCCTATCTTTCAAAGACGAAAACACCAAGAACAAGGGGAATGCTGCCACCTGCTGAAGAGTTGGAGTCAGTGAAAGTGCTGCCACACAGTTATAAGACAAGCCTCTTTATCAGGGTTCAAAATCAGTTAACAGAGCCAGAGGTGACCCAAGCCTGTAATCCCAGCAACTCAGGAGGCAGCAGGATCTCAAATTCAAGGTCAGTCTGAGGCCAGTCTGAGTACAAAAGTTTAATTCTGGATTTCATCAGGCCAATTTGTGTTGGAGAAAGGTTATCTTGTCTCCGGCATAAGGTAGCAAATACCTGCATTACTACTCCCCTTTCTTCTGCCAGTATTTATGCCTATGAGCTTTGAATTTTCTCCCAAGACCTAAATCTCAAAATACAAAATATACTTAGTTGTATGGAGCTACAAGTGATATGAGAAGAGAAAGCAATACTACTCTGGTTAAAAATTCCCTTCCCCAGATGAATCTCTTTTCCCAACTTTCACTTTTACCATTCTTCCTCTTCTGTTCATATACAAATATTCATATGCACACATAGGACATTGCAAGAGAAGGCTGGGAGACAACTGCTTTTATACAGCCCTTTTTTTCTCTTTCACCCATCTTTTCACTCTTGTCTCCATCCCTGTCTCCTATTATTTTCTTTCTTCCTACCCCCATATCCTCCTCCTAACCTTCAGATTTCAAGATTCCCCTATTAATATATGAGAAACTAATATGAGTAGGAGGCCTGGTGGGAAAGTGACATGTAACTGGTCACTTTTACAGCTCCAAGGCCACAATTCAAATTCATATGTGATGCTCCTCTTTTATGCCTTTTGATTTTCAACCACATGAATGCAGAAAATATATATATATATATATATATATAACCAGGGATGCTTAACCACAGTTATATCTCCAGCCCTTTTTTATATTTTATTTAGAAACAGGGTCTCACTAAGTTGCTTAGGGCCTCTCTAAATTGCTGAAGCCAGCTTTGAACTTACCATCCTTCTGCCTCAGCCTTCTGAGCCTTTGGGATTACAGATGTGGGCCACTGCACCTGACTATATTTACTTTTTTGAACCTGACCTTGACAGACCACTGTTTAATTCCATGGTTTCATGAAATAATAAAGTACTTCTTATGAAAATATCTTATGAAAACAATATTTTAGAATTAATAGAATAGGTTTATAGGATAAAGTACTCCTATTGTGGTTTAGGTTTGTCTGTCTTATAGAAACTTCAGAAAGAATTCTATAGAAAAACCTAATGCTGTCAGACCTACCTTAGAAGGAAAATTTTATGTTTTCTAAATACAATAGAAGAATAGTACTCTTCTGTGGCTTCATTTTACTACATGTGCTGCATTTCCTATAAGATGCACAGTTTTACATTACAGAAAACTCTAAAGGAAAAGAATGTGTGTAAACAAAGGTCACAGTACTTAAAAATTATTCCTTAACATAAATTTCATAAAGTCAGGGAACTGGGAGAAAGCTAATGGATGGAAACAGTATATTTTCGAAGAAAACAAATCCCTCATTTATGTGACTCTGAGCCATGTCTTACCTGAAATTTCTTTTCTGGACACAAACTCTTATCTTGGTTATTTTCCAGAATGTAGCCCCAGGTCACTGGCTGCTAGAGCTCTTGAGATCACTCTTCCTATATCACCTGCTGAAGCAAGTAAGAGGAAGGCCTTGATTTAAAACATGCCTTACTATTAATGTCTACATCTCAAATCCTGTTTATCTTACAATGTTATTATATTTTATCCTATCAACTGGTCTGCTTTTCCTTATTACTTGAATTTGGCACATTAAATTTTTGTTTTTAAAGTAGAATTAAACTGTCTTGCCTTAGAATGGCCATTATGCAATTTTCAAAAAATACTCCGTCCTTTTCAACTATATTCAGAAATATGCAAACCAAAAGATGTTTTTTCTAAGAGTAAGTCCTTTTGGTAGCTTACTTAGTTTGGGTTTGTTATCAGAAGCTAAGTCAAGCAACCCTGATCCCTGGTTTTCCCAAACAGCGTAGAATATTTCAGAAATCTTCTCCACTAAACATCTGTTTCTTTTGCAATTAAGGGAAGGCAGAGAAAACTTTTGTGCTTCAGGGCACAAAATGTAATAAATTACAGTGATGCCTATGTACCATCTTGGTTGATGTGTACCACACCTTTAAAGAAAGAAATGTAGAATTCATGAATAAAATTACATCCAGAGATCATCACAAATCATAGAAAGAAATAAAATCTCACAGAATTCTAATGGGTTACTATTCATTGGTAATCAATTCTTTGAATAAATTTTTCATAAGATTTCTGTCAAGTTAACGCACATTTGCAATCCCAGCTACTCAAGAGGCTGAGTCAGGAGGATCTCAAATTCAAGGCCAGTCTGGCAGTTTAGCAAGATCCTGTCTTTCCTTTTCTTTTTCTTTTCTTTTTTAACCCAAGGGCATTTAACCTCTGAGTCACATCCCCAGCCCTATTTTTTATTTTATTTAGAGACAGAGTCTCACTAAGTTGCTTAGCACCTTGCTTTTGCCAAGGCTGGGTTTGAACTCACTATCTTCCTACCTCAGCCTCCCCAGCCACTGGGATTACAGGCATGTGCTACAGCACCTGGGTATTCCAGCCCTTTTTATTTTTAATTTTGAGACTGGGTCTCTACAAGTTGCTGAATTTAGTGGCTTTGAACTTTCAGCCCTCCTGCCTCAGCCTTCAAAGACCCTGTCTTTAGGGGGGAAAAAAAAAAAAAAAACCCTACAGTTAAAAGACACCTGACTTACATATGTGGATATTCGGAGGGAATGTTTCCAAGTCCTTGAGAGGCATGACAATGTCCTCAATAATGTGCTTCAGTCAACCAGTCACACAGTTTAGGCCACAATAATATGAGCAATTCTACTTCTGAGTATGAACAACAGAGTTCTGGTCTTCAAACTAGAGACCTGAGACAATTTTTGGATTTGTTTGGTTTTTTTGTTTGTTTGTTTATACCATTTGTTTGTTTATTTTGAGACAGGGTCTCACTGAGTTGCTTCAGGCCTCACTAAATTGCTGAGGCTGGCTTTGAGCTCTCACGATATTCCTGCCTCAGCCTCCCAAGCCCATGGGATTACAGGCTTGCACCACTGTGCCTGGCCAAAACACTTGGTTTTAAGAGAATCAATATCAACCAGGCACTATGGCACATGCCCATAATCTCAGAGGCTCAGGAGACTGAGGCAGGAGGATTGTGAGTTCAAGGCAAGCTTCAGCAACTTAAAGACATAAGCAACTCAGTAAGACCCTGTCTCTAAAAAAATACAAATAGGGCTGGGGATGTGGCTCAGTGGTTGAGTGCCCCTGAGTTCAATCCCCAGTACCAAAAGAGAGAGAGAGAGCTAGCACAAGAGAGAAAGCCTAAGCTTGAGAAAGAATCAATTCCAGATCTTTAACTGCCACTATCTTCTCGCCTAAAGCTCATCTACCTGAGAACCAGTAGGATTAAGTGACCCTGTTGGTTCCTTATCCCTATCTCCCCTTTCACAATGACGTTCTCATTAAAAAGAAAAGGCATCTGAACACAAAATAATACAGTTAGTCCTTCAAATCCATTCTGCACCTGGATCCAAACAAAGGTGAAGGAAAAATTGTGGGGGGGATTATAATTGTACTGAACACATGCCGACTTCTTTTCTTGCCATCATTGCCTAAATAATCAAGTACAACAACTATGTTAATAGCATTTATACTGTATAAGGTATCATAAGTAATATGGACATGATTTTTAAAATATTTATTATTTGCAGATGAACACACAGTATCTTTATTTATTTTTATGTGCTACTGAGGACCGAACCCAGTGCCTCACACATGCAAGGCAAGCACTTTACCACTGAGCAACAGTCCCAGCCCCATATGGACGTGATTTAAAGGGTACAGGACACCAGGCACAGTGGCACATGCTTGTAATCTCAACTACTCAGGAAATTGAGGCAAGAGGATCACAAATTCAAAGCCAGCTTCAGCAATTTATCGAGGCCCTAAGGAACTTAGTGAGACCATGTTTCTAAATAACAAATAAAAATGGGGGGCAAGGGTTGTGGCTCAGTGGTAGAGTACTTGCCTAGCATGTGTGAAGCACTGGGTTAGATTCTCAGCACCACATAAATAAATAAAGTCCATTGACAACTTAAAACATATATTTTAAAAAAATAAAAATAAAATAGAAATGTGCTGGGGAGGTGGCTTAGTGGTTAGGTGCCTCTGGGTTTAATCACTGGTACCATAAAATAAGAAGAGGAGGAAGAAGTGGAGGAGGAGGAGGAGGAGGAAGAGGAGGAGGAGGAGGAGGAGAAGAATTCTACTTTTACATTACAAGGAAATTACTTCTGCCTGGCACAGTGGTGCACCCCTGTAATACCAGCAGTTTTGGAAGCTGAGAGAAGAGGATCACAAATTTGAGGCCAGCCTGAGCAACTTAGTGAGGCCCTAAGCAACTTAGTGAGACTGTCTCAAAATTAAAAAGGCTGGAGATGTGGCTTAATAGTAAAGCACCACTGGATTCAATCCTAGTACTAAAACAAAAAACAAGGAAATTACTTCCTTTGCAACTACTCATATATGTTTAATTCCAATTTTAAAATGTACAAGGAGGGAAAAGGTTTTATAAAGTGTTTGTAGGGTAAGCTAACAAAAAGTTTAAAGACATCTATCTAGAAAAATTTCCATACATGTACATAAAAACAACATATACTGTATAAGGCTGTTCATGTATATATTATTTGAAATAGCAAAAAATTAGAAGGAACCTAGATGTTCATCACTATCTATAATAAAATGTGATATTTTTATATGATAGGACATTATACAGCAGATAAAGAAATAAATCAGGTCAATTTAACACCATGGAAAATTGGTGTTAAATTGGAAAAATCTCAAATTTGAGCAGATACTAATTAAATCTGGTCCTCAGAATTAAAGTGAAGTTATTTTTCTCTCCTTTCCTCTCCTTCTCACAACAGAGAAGCCAGTACAGGAAGCAGAAAAATCTTTATGCTATGTAGTATCACCTAAACCTTGGCCTTAAAGCAGAGAACTTTGGGTGTGGAAAATGATTATATCACGTTATGATCTTGAAGCCTCCCTAGTTATCTGAGGTAATTTAATGACTACTCCTGGTGTGGTTATAGAGGAGATTAAAACAGTCAAAGAATCAACTAGGAGGAGAAGGATTTCCTCCTCATCTATATGGAATCTCTACTTACCTGGAAAGAGAAAGTAAGGTACTTATTTACTTATATTATACAAGAAGGATGGATAGAGGAAATATTAGTGACCCAGTAAATATCCAGTGGTGAAATAAGCAAAACTTACTCCTAGCAAAAAATTATTTCTACAATAATAAAAGCACGTTAGGAATTCATTTTTGTAAGAAAGCAAAATCCATAGTGCCTAAGAATAACAACTAAGTTCTTTGACTATTCATATGAATTTTATTCCTGTTCAATCTACTCAAACTTTTGATTACTTTGAAAATTAAGCCTTATTTTCTCATTGACCCCATTAAATTTAATAATAATGTAAAATAGGGATGTAATAAGAGCAATAATAACTAACAACTTTTATCATACACTTAGAAATATATGGGATCATTAAAGGATATATATTGTCTTATGAAGACCCCTAGCATGTTTATATTTTTTCTTTTTCTTTTTTTTTTTTTTTTTGTACCAGGGTTTGAACCCAGGGACACTTAACCACTGAGCCACATCCCCAACCCTTTTTTGTATCTTTAGGGCCTTGCTAAGTTGCCTAGGCTGGCTTTGAACTCAAGATCCTCCTGTCTCAGCCTCCCAAGCCCCTGGGATTATAGGAGTGCACCACTGCACCCAGCTTACATTTTTTCTCTCTTAAGTCTCTGTAAACATGTTTCTATAAGGACAGTGTGGGCTTAGCATTGTCATAGAAGTAATAAATATTTACTGACTAGTAGTAGTACGGTTGCACACTAATACTAAATGATCTACTTAAATAGCTTTCGTATAGTCCCTACAATATAATCCCATATTGCTTCTCCACCACATGTATTAAAATCAGCCCTCTCTTATAACAGCTGAGGTTTTGTCATTTCTGCATTGTTTCATCTAAGGTTTCGAGTATCTTACGAATACATTCCCATTAGACCCATCTATCAGTTCACCAGTCATGCCTGGACAGGTTCAAATCTCAATGGTAAATGAAGACTTCATGTAAGTACTTCCACCAGAGAAGAAAGGGAGAAGGGAAATTCTATCAGATTGACAGTATTCATTAATCCTTAGTGTGTATGTGAAAAGGTGAGTGTTATAGCCCTGGATATAAAATTAAACTGGATTACCATCTGTTAGTGAATATTTCCAACGTTTTTTTTTTGGCGGGGGTGGGTACGGGGGATTGAACCAGCTCCACTACTAAGCCACATTCCCCAGCCCCTTTTTATATTTTGTTTTGAGAGAAGGTCTCACTAAGTTGCTTGGGGCCTTGCTAAATTGCTGAGGCTAGCCTCCAAGTTGCAATCTCCTGTCAACCTCCTGAGTCACTAGGACTATAGGTATTTGCCACCATACCCAGCTTCAATTTCTTGTGGCATTCAATACTTTTCCATTACTCCAATTCAGACTAGATCAGAAACTCTTAGGTGTTG